GGAGGGTCGACGAAAGAGGGGGAGCCCTTCAACGAGATGGATTGACATGGTGGCTGCGATGATGGGCTCAAGTATAGCAGGGATCGTGGAGCTGGCATGGGATCAGGCCATGTTTCGTTCTGCGATGGCACCTAACAACAACAAGAAAGGCTGTGGATGGTCTGGCAAGGAAGTTTGTGCAGCAATGTGCACAGGGAGAGGAACCAATGGATAGTATGAAAAGGAGACCATAAAAGAAAATGAAAACGTGGATGGCCAGAACCAAGCAGTGCTTCAGTCTCTTGTCCATGGGGTCACTGTGAGTCAGACCTGACTCGACGGCACCTAACAAAAGAGCATGCTTTCCTAAGTGAGTCATAAATTCAAAGGGGACAGTTGAGCCCTCCACCTGTGGCCTGTGCTGGCTCCAGGAAGAGGTCCAGAGAGGATATGGTGCAGAAGACCAAGAGAAAGGACCAGAGGGGATACAGTGTGGGAGCCCAAGACTGGTGGTTAGTTTGTCACTCCTGAGTGTGCATTCCCATGGGCTTACCAGGAGAGAGACCTGGAAGCCAGGTCTGGTCCACAGGAGAGGGTGAAGCCCAGTGGTGTCAGCAGTGGGAGGAGCAAACAGGAACCGTGGGAGGAAAGGGAGCCAGAGCCCCAGGGCTCGAGAGTACAGAGTCAGAGGCACTATCGTGGGGCCAGTGAGCTGTGATGGAACTTTGGTCAAAGCTGTCTCCTACTTTGTGGCCCCGCACTCAGGCATTCCTTACAGTAGGAAACATGCTAGAGGCCCACAGGCAGATTGCTTCTTGACTGAGAAAGGCCTCTAGTTCAGAGCATTTTAGAAGGGCTTCCTTTCTGGTGTGTGAAGAGGTGCTGAGAGTTTGCAGGTTCAGAGCCACCCAGAAGTGCCTTGAAGGAAAGCCCTGGTGATCTGCTTCCGAAAAATCAACCACCAAAAAGCCTATGGAGCATAGATCTTACTCAGGCACACTTGGGGTGGCCAGCAGTCAGAATGGGCTCAAGAACAACTGGTTTGGATGTTGGTTGGCCCATTCTGTTGAGAACTTAGGCAATCAGGGAAGACAGGCTGGAGGCTAGGGTACAGGGGCTTGGATGGGAACTAAACAGTTGACACTTCATACCCTTGATGATAGACGCTATGTATATGTTAGTAAGAGGAACTCAGGTGGTTGGAGAAAGATTAATCTGGCATTAATGGGAAGGATGAACTAGAAGATAAGCCAGAAGTGAACAAGACGTCGAGAAGCTATGGCAATACTTAGATCTGAATATAATACGGACCCAGACAGAGTGGGGTGTGGGAATGGAAAAGAAGACACTGAGGAAAGAGAGGCTGGGAAATTGTTCTTTATAACATGTGGTCAAGGGAGAGGTGGGGTCAGAACTTAATTTATGCGTCCGTCCAACTCTTGGGCCACTTCGGTCAGTTTGCAGAACTCAGCTTGAACCTGGAGCCTGAGTAGATCCTCTGCTCCAGATGCCTGCCTCTAGTCACAGGTGGGAGTCGCAGGTGGGAGGCCGGGGGTCAGCACGACCCATCTCTGCATGAAGAAACTACCCCAGTGTGGTGAGGATGCAGCGTGACTGCATGCAGGCTGGCCACAGTAACCTACCTTGGTAACCAAAGGCCAGGGCATCCAGGCTGTGACTGACTGCCCTTCTCTTGCTCCAGGGGTCCTGGATGGGTACCTGTTCAGCAAGACCCTCTGCATGGATGCCGTGCAGCACTGGGGCAAGCAGTATGATGTCCACAACCTATATGGCTACTCCATGGCGATTGCCACAGCCGAGTAAGGATGCTGTAGATGGAGTACATGGTCCTGTCATCCGTCTTCCTGCTGTAGACTGAGTGCTTGGTCCTGTTATCTGCCTTCCTTCTGTAGACAGAGTATATGGTCCCGTTGTCCGTCTTCCCCCTGTAGACCGAGTCCACGGTCCTGTCATCTCTCTTCCTAGGTGATGAGTGACTCGTTCACATTATTTTTCAAAAGAGAAATGCAAGAAAAATACGATCATCCTTACTGAATGACTAAAGAAACTGCCTGGCACCTAGGAAACAGGGAATCTGATAAAAAATGTTGAGTGTACAAAATGAAAGAAAGGAGGGATGAATGGAGCAAATGTTGGAAGAAAGAAAGGTGAAGTAACTTGCCCTAGGTCAAAGAGCTAATAAATAGCAAAAGCAAAATTTAAGCCTGTTTCCGCATGAGTCCAAAGGCCATGGTGTCTCTCTGCACCACCTATCTAGACTGGAGTGTGGAGGGTGTGTGACTGGTCGATATCTGTGTGTGTTGGAGTTTTCAACACTGGCTCAGCATCCTTCTACCATGCTTTGTGTGTGGACTCAGATTCTATAGTGAAGAAAAGATATTGAACACTTACTGTACTTACTGTGAGGAGCTCTGGTGGCACAGTGGTTAAGCATTCAGCTGCTAACCAAAAGTTTGGCAAACCTACCAGCTGCCTCATGGGAGAAAGACGAGGCGGCCTGTTTCCATAAAGGCTAACAGCCTTGGAAACCTTATGGGCAGTTCTACCCTGTCCCGTGGTCACTATGAGTTGCAGTTGACTCAGTGGCAGTGGGTTTGGTTTTGGTTTTCCTGGAGGTGAGCTGAAGTCCCACATTGTGTCTCTAAATCTCTCTCTGCTTCTAGAGCTGTCAAGACTGTTTTCCCCAATAAGAGAAGCTTCATCATAACCCGCTCTACCTTTGTGGGGTCTGGCAAGTTTGCAGCCCATTGGCTAGGGGACAACGCGGCCACCTGGGATGACCTTCGATGGTCCATCCCTGGGGTGCTCGAGTTCAACCTTTTTGGTATTCCAATGGTAAGTACCCATCCCAAATTCTCTTGTGATACTCAATCCCCAGAAAGCCTCTTTCTAGAAATTTCCAAACCATAAAGCACTGCTCTCCTGTCACCATGGCTCTGGGATTTAATGTCTTGGGAGCAAGAGCTTCATACATAGTGTGGCTCTGAGGCCTCCATGTTCTTTCCTGAGCTCATGAAGATAAGGCCACCTGGAAGTAGTGTCACCAGAGCATTGCTTCCTATGGAGACAGAGCATTTATGCACAGAAGTGTACACACACACATCGTTGAGTACATAGCTGATGAAAATCACAAGCTGAACACATCATCTGTGAATCCAGCACTCAGATGAGTAAAGAGACCGTTGTCCTACCCTAGAGCTGGCTTTGACATCTTTTAGTTAATTTCAACATATGTATTATGCTCTCCTACTGTGTGCTGATTTCATATTGGTTCCACAATCAACACCCGTGGAAGCAGCAGTCAAGAAATCAGAGTTCGTATTCCACTAGGAAAATCTGCTGCAAAAGACCTCTTTAAAGTGCTGAAGAGCAAAGATGTCTCTTTTAAGACTAAGGTGCACCTAACTCAAGCCATGGTGTTTTCAATCACCTCATATGGATGTGAAAGCTGGACAATGAATAAGGAAGACTGAAGAAGAGTTGATGCTGTTGACTTGTGGTATTGGCTAAGAATCCTGAAAATACAATGGGCTTCCAAAAGAACTAACAGATCTGTCCTGGAAGAGGTACAGCTGGAATGCTCCCTGGAAGGAAGAATGACCAGACTTCATCTCACTTACTTTGGTCATGTTGTCAGAAGGGACTATTCCCCTGGAGAAGGATATCATACTTGATAAAGTGGAGGGTAGGAGCTCTGGTAGCATAGTGCCTAAGGCACTTGACTACTAACCAGAAGCCTGGCGGTTTAAACCCACCAGCCACTCCTCAGAAGGAAGGTTGGGCAGAAGGAAGTAGTGATACTGCCTCGGAAACCCAAGGAGGGGTCCCTATGAGTCGGGTCCGACTTGACAGCACATAACAACAACAAACAACAACAAAGTGGAGGGTCAGTGAAAGAGGGAAAGGCCCTCAACAAGATGGATGGACACAGTGGCTGCAATGATGGGCTCAGATATAGCAAGGATTGTAGTAAGGATGGTGCAGGACCCGGCAGTGTTTTGGTCTGTTTACATAGGGTTGCTGTGAGTTGGAGCTTACTAGACAGCACCTAACAACAACAAGAACAACAACTGTGTGCTAGGCACTGACCTAGGTATGAATTGGGAGAATGGAGAAAAGTATGTAGGCATGGTAACAAAAACACCTTCTCCTCCCCCAAGAGTTTGTAGTTTAGTCAGAAGAGATAGATATGAATAACTCTCAAATAACCCAATAATTACACAAAAGCTACAAGTGCTAACTGGGGCATATGACTTAATGCTAAGGGAGATTCTGAGCAAGGAACTTGCTATCCTGACCAGAGTGTGTGGGCCAGAGAGTCCCTGACCAGAGTACATTGCCAGCGAGTTGGGGAAGAGATTCAGGAAATCAGTGGAAAAATTGGCTCTTGACTTGACTTTGAAAAGTGGTCATAGTTCACCAGACTAACTGTGGAGAAGGTAATTTTGAGATTGAGAGAGAAACCCAAGGGAGAACAGTAGGGGTATTTGTTGTCTCTAGGGATGGGAGACTTGGGGGCCAAGGTTAGAAAATGGTGCTGGAAAATGGATTGGGACCAGGTGGTGCAGGCCTAATGGGAAAAGCAGCAAAGAGCACCTGCAGGTTTTTGGATAGGTGAATGATGGAGTAGAGTCTAGTGGTAGCAGTGCACTCAGAATGCTATCAGCAGTATGACTGGCTACTATTCATCAAAAAGGAATCCTGGGGGAACACTGGTTAAGCACTTGTCTGCCAACCTGAAGGTCAGTGGTTTGAACCAACAGCTGCACCATAGGAGAAAGATATGGTAGCCTGATTCCACAAAGATAAATCTGGGAAACAGTATGAGGCAGTTATATTCTGCCCTATACAGTCACTGTGAGTTAGAATCAACTTGAGGGCAATGGGGTTTGTTCCTCAAAAGCTACTGTATGCTAAGTGCTTTGCTAGCATCATGTCACTTACTAAAATCCTGTGTAAGTAATTAGTACCCACTTTAATACAATGAGGAAACTGAGGCACAGAAGGTTAGGTAACATACTCAAAGTTACCAAAGGGTAAATGGTGGACAAGTCTGTCCACACGGTACTAGCCTTTCCAGTAAGAGGTGTTGGCAGCCTCCACTGGGAGGTCCCTGGTAGGAAGGAAGGGAGGTGGTGGGATTGGGCGTCCTACTGTCGGTGTGTCCTCCAGGTGGGTCCTGACATCTGTGGCTTTGCGATGAACACCTCTGAGGAGCTCTGCAGGAGGTGGATGCAGCTAGGAGCGTTCTATCCGTTTTCCCGGAATCACAATGGACAAGGCTACAAGGTGAGGGTCCCAGGAGATATGAACCACAGACACACGGTGTGTGTTGACAGTGGGTCTGTCTGCATCCTGTTGAGACCTGTTGAGTCAGCCTTGGCCATGTGCCTCCCTTGGGCTCATATCCCCACCATTTGCAGCTACCCAGTGCCCGTAGCAAGTCTTTGAAAGCCCAGTGCCTGTCAAGTCAGCTCCGCCTCATGGTGACCCTGTGTGTGTCAGAGTAGACCTGTGCTCTGCAGAGTCTCCAATCGCCGATGTTTTGGAAATAGATCACTAGTCTTTCTTCTGAGGTGCCTCTGGGTGGACTCGAACCCCCAACCTTTCAGTTAGCTCCTGAGCATACTCACCATTTGTACCTTACTTCTGCTGTTGGGAGCTCTGGTGGAGTAGTGCCTAAGGCGTTTGACTGCTAACCAGAAGGCTGGCATTCAAACCCACCAGCTACTCCTCGGAAGGAAGATTAGGCAATTTACTTCCATAGAGATACCTCCTCAGAAACCCAAGGAGGGGTCGCTCTGAGTCAGAAATGACTCCATGGCTGTGAGTTTGGGTTGGTTTTGGTCTGCTGTTGGCATCTCTGAAGGGTTTCCTCAAACCTCTTGCATTTTATCTACGGGGCTCATTTTGTAATGAAAATCAAAGATTTCAAGATTGTTTAACTGGCAACTTTCTGAGGACGATGCCAGAGAGCTTATGATGAGGCAGGGCAGCCCTTGCTTTGTTGCTGACCTCCCTTGGCCACTGGCCCTGCTCAGAGCCCAGGTTGGAGTGGAGGCTCCCGGCCGCTCAGTGATGACCTGCTTGGTGGCCTGGAGTTCTCCCGGGGCTTCTGTGAAGCCTCAGCCACAGTGCAGCCCCTGTGTCTTCCTCTAGGACCAGGACCCCGCCTCCTTCGGAACCGACTCCCTGCTGCTGAACTCCTCCAGACACTACCTGAGCATCCGGTATACCCTGCTGCCTTACCTCTACACCCTCTTCTACCGGGCACACACCCGCGGGGACACCGTGGCCCGGCCGCTGCTGCACGAGTGAGTTCCCGGACACCGAGGGGTCTTGGTGCACCCAGATGACGTGCTCATAACGTCAGAGTGAAAAGTGAAGCAGTTCAAGCGGTTATTCAGATCCTGCTCCAAACTGGACTGATAACGACCAGTGGGCATCAGGTTGACCCGGACTCAGGGCAGCCCCGTGTGTCAGAGGACCACTGTGCTCCCAATGGTATCCAATAGCTGATTTGGTGAAAGTCAATGATCAGGCCTGTCTTGCAAGGTGCCACTGTGAACTTGAGATTCCAGCTCCTAGGTTAGCAGCTGAGCACGTTCACCGTTTACATCCCCCAGGGACTGCAAACTGAAGCAGCGAGTTGGCATTTGCAGGGTGATCACTGTCTAGATACTATTCCAGCGTATATTGAAGTTCTATGGTCTGCTCCCTTTAAGGGAGAGACTTGGGCTCTGAGTTGTGGACTCGGGGTCTACTCTATAACTTAGAAAACTTATTTAAGTCCTTTGATCCTCCATGTCTTTGGTCATGGTTTAAAGGATTGGATAAATTGGTCATAAAGGGCACTATGATTTAAGGTCTATTTTCAGCTTCTAGGAATGGGTCAGCCATTTACATACAAATAAGAGTATTCTAGAAAATATCCAGGACTCCAAATTTCTTCTTATTGCCACCCAATGGGCATCTGTAACTCAAGTCTGAAAAGGGTGCTTAAATGGCTTTTCTTGTCAAAATATGCTCAACTCTGCAATGAATGTGACACATACCCTCTATTTCCACTATTGTATATTCATTTGTTTGTCTAAGATTTTGCTATTTCCTGGAATTTCCTGTTAAAACATAGGTAGTCTAGAAGATAAAAGGGTGAAAGCTTAAATTACCTGCTGACTTTCCTGGTCAGACCCATGTCCTGCTTGTAAGTCAACTGAAGGTCTAAAGTTTTACTTTCTATTTTGAAAGGGGGACAGGGCATATACAGCCATAGTAGCCATTCTAGGATCTCCCAGTGTAGACGCTCGGATGGAAACTTCCATCCAACCTGATGCAGGAGGGGGAGGCTGCATGAACTAGGAAGAGGCTGGGATAGTGGATCTGTCTCTGGGGCTGGGAGGTGGGTTGGATGAGGGTCACAGAATAATTTGGGGGATTGGCCCAGAAGGCAGCCTGCATGTGTGGACAGGCTGTGCAGAGTGGCCAGGGGCACTGGCCAAACCTCAGGGATGGTGTCTCTGGTCCCCAGGTTCTACAATGACAACAGCACTTGGGGCGTGCATCGGCAGTTTCTGTGGGGGCCGGGCCTCCTCATCACCCCAGTTTTGGATGAGGCAAGTCTTCTCGAAGGGCACCCCCTTGCTCTCTGCTTCTCTTCCTGCTCTGCTCCTCCTGCCCTCTCTTGTCTCTTCTCCCGACCCATTTCTGACACCGGGCTGGGCCAGCCTTGGCAGGGTGTGGCTTTGGAATGCTGGATGCCTGACACTTAAAGTCTCCAAAAGACTTTCACTCTTGACCAAGTTCCCAGCCAGTGTAGGAGTTGCTGTGGCAGCTGGGGTGATGCGGGTTTGGTTGTCTGCTTCTGACGGCCCTGACACAGAGGCAGAGTGGATAGCTGTCCCCACACCCTAGGGTCAGACTGGCCCCCGTGTGCTCACTGCATGCCACTCAGCACCTGTGTGACGGGGGCAAGGGACGTATCACCCCTCACCTCTGAAAGCGGGGTGGATGGTGCCTCCCGTTTAGGGTTGCTGCAACAGTAGATGAGGTAATCTTTCAAACTTGCCAAGCTGGAACTTTCCCCCCAAAATGAGTTACGCTATTACTAGCTTTAATTGTCATTACTCCTGATGTGGTCCCGCTGGGCTGCAGAGCTAGTGTGTCTCTGATTCCTAGGAAAAAGGCAGAAGAAAGGCACAGTTGGGGACAGGGACAGAAAGGTCTTCTCTGCCATCTGGGGTGCAATTAGGAAGGTTCCCTGGGGACGCTGGGGAATCTGTTGATCCCCTTCAGAGGCTGGGCCACGGAGACAGGGTTCTTTTCCCTTTCAGGGTGCGGAGAAAGTGCCAGCTTATGTGCCTGATGGCGTCTGGTATGACTACGAGACTGTGAGTAGCTTTGGCTGCGTGCAAACTTGTGAGTGCACGGTGGCCGCTGGCAGGACATGAGGCCTCTGGGGAGAGGACGCGTGGAGGGCTCCCCAAGGGTGTTTCCGTGACTTCTCAGCAGAGTGGGACACAGTGAGCCAGGTCACAGTGTCAGTCCACACGGAGGCTGGAAGGACCATCCTCACATGTTTTACTCAGCAGTCAGACACGGACCGAGTCCTCGTGAGCCCGTCTTGGCTCGTCCGGGCCGTTGGGGCTTGGGCAGGGCCAGGCTGCTGGTCTGGCACTTCCCACTCATGTGTGCAGCCCCGGCGGGCAGCATGGTCTACAGCCCCCCAACTGAAGCAAGGCCTGTTGTGCCCATTGTTTTGCTTGGCTCGTGTTGCACTGCCTATGCAGCTGGTGGAAGCGGGCAGAGCTGCAGATACTGCTGCTGGGGCCATTGGTGGAGGGAGTGTGCAGCTCCCAGCCCCGTCCGTGTTTCTCTGAACACTCAGGGGGCCCGGCTACAGTGGAGGAAGCAGCAGGTAGAGCTGGACCTTCCCGGAGACAAAATTGGACTGCACCTGCGAGGCGGCTACATCTTCCCCACCCAGCAGCCCAGCACCACCACCGAGGCCAGGTACTGGAGGCTGTGGGCTCCCTTTGGACCGTCACCCCTGCCCCGCCTGCTGTTCACACCAAAGCTCTTGAGAAAGCCACTGAGTTAGAGCTGTGCACCACTGTCTTTCCCTAGCGCCCCTAGCTTCTCCTCAAACCACACTGCCTGCCAAGGTGGTCGTCTGTCCCGGGTTTGTCAGGGCTGTCCCAGGTTACTGCTCAGAGCTCTGTGTCCGGGGAAACTCCTCAGTTCCTCAAACCACAATGCTGGCTGCTGTCCCTGCTCTGACCAGACTGTCTACCCGTGGTTTCCCGACCCATTTCCTGGTGGTGAGGCCCACCCCCACCCTGCACTCTGAGGAGCCCCCCACCCTGCTCCCACCGAGCTCTCCTTCCTGAGATTCATGCCCTGCTTCAAAAAGCAACCCCACCAGCGGCCAGTCTGCCCCGTGCCACTGCTGCTCATCTGACGGCATTGTAGGGCTGTAGCTGTGTTAAGGTGACTGAAGAGACACACGTACACACCTGTGGCTCTCCCAACGTATCCACCTATCATCTGCCTGTCTATCACCTTTGTCTGTCTATCTGTCTATCTATCTATCTATCTATCTATCTATCCATCTGCCTGCTTATCTTTCCATCCATCCGTCCATCCATCCATCCATCCATCCACCTACCTGTTTGTCTATCCATCCATCTATCCATCTACCCACCCATCTATTTATCTGTCTGTTAATCTATCTATCTATCCATCATCTATCTGCCTGCCTGTCCATCTATCCATCCATCTATCTATCTATCCATCTATCTATCTATCCTGGGAGTGCTTTGGGGGCTGGGATCATGTCTTTTCTTTAGAACCTTCTTTCCTGCCTGGATTTCTTCAACTGTAAACAGTTTAGGGGACTGGCAGCTGGGAAGCTCGGATCCAGCGCTGGTTTCTTTTCTGTAGTTGCTCAGCGTCAGGCTGTTCGGCACACTGACACTGACACTATCTTTCTAAAATGAAACTCTGAGCCCATGGTTCTCCTGCTGTCTTAATTCAAGACTTTCAAGTCCAAAGTCTTGAATTGACAGTGTGTTTAAGGACAATCACAATCTGGTTGCCAGTTACCCTCACAGCTATATCTCCTGCCACACCTTAATACTCACCAAGAGACCAGCCATGCTAAAAACATTTCTGCAGTGCAAGTGTATCCCTCCATTCTGCTGCCCTTGGGCATCTGCACTTAGTGCTCTGACCAACATTCTTTGCCTGGTGCATTCTTTCCAAAATTTTATTGTTTTTATTTATTTATTTTTAATTGTGGTGAAAATGTGCACAACAAAGATACACCATTTAAACAATTCATACATGCACAACTCAATGGCATTGATTGCATTCTTCAAGTTATGCGACCATTTTTACTTTCCTTTTCCAAATGATTCCATCACCATTAACTCAAACTCAATGCTCCCTAAGTTTCTCATCTAACCTTTTGAGTTGGTGTTGTCAACTTGATCTCATATAGATAATTCTGTAAAAGAACACAAATGTAAAGGCAAAGAAGACTTGCTTCAAATAAGACTTCAGGAGACATTTTTGGTTTCAATTTTAGGGCTGAAACATTATTTCTCTCAGAGCAATAGCTTTAGGGGTCTATCCAGCCTCAATAGCTCCAGAAAGTCTTGATTACATTAAGCATTTGAAATTGTGTTCTACATTTCTACCCATTTTGACCAAGATAGTTTTATGGACTCTTTATCAAAACATTCAGTACTGGTAGCCAGGCACTATCCAGTTCTTCTAGTCTCATAGCATAGAAGGCAGTTGTTCATGGAGGCAATTAGCCACACATTCCATTTCCTCCTCTGATTCCTGACTCCTCTTCTTCTGTTGCTCCATGTGAACGGAGGCATGTTGATTTCTTAATGGTCCTTCCCATCAACACCAGATTGTACTTTCAAGAAACTCCCCTAAGTCTCCCAGCAGAGAGCATGAGTCCGCTTCCAACTTTCTGATCATTTCACATACAGGTAGTTCCTGACTTATGGCCAACTCAAGTTATGATCAACAGTACTTACGACTCTCTCTCCTTTTTTTTTTTTTTAACATCTTATCATTTTACTACTTATAATATGTATTACGTACAAGTCACAGTGAGTAAGTTGCTGATGTTATCATTCTCATGCCAAGCTCTAAAGACAAATAAGGTTTAGATTTATAAAGATTCTGAGAATAATGAAAACTGAAAAAAAAAAAAAGAAAGAAAAAGAGGTATTCCACTTATGTCGGAACTGATTTATAACAGGATCGTAGAAATGGAACTACCTGTTTCTTGCTCCTCAGCTGATTTCCAGAACATTTAAAAAATATTCCAATCAGTTATTGGGGTGGTTATGTTTGTGTGTCAGCTTGGCTGGGCCTGGTTGTGTGGCTGGGCAGCTGGATGTAGTATTCAGATGATGAGACTCCATGGTGGAATCTACTGTGAGCAGCCTTTGGGTATGTGGTCTGCTTCCCGTATATAAGAAACAGCTTTGGGAGTGGTCTCTAGCTTATGGCATGCTTGGACCCTGCATGTAGCCATGTCATTGTTCAGCAGCCTGCCATGCTCCTGCTGACCTTGGGACTTACAATGGACTTGAATTAATGGGCTGCCATGTGGTTTGGTTACGTTGGGCCTGTGCCTTTTTATTTGTCAACCTTGGGCTTGGTAGCCTCAACAGCCAGTAGCTGCCTGAGTGAAGACATGCTTCTGGCTTCAGTGGGCCAGGAGCAAGAGGCAGAGCTGAAGCCCAAGGTCGAGGGGCTTTCACACAGCCCCTAGGGCTTTGGAACTTGGACTTCTAACCTCCCAAACTGTAAGAGAATAACCTCCTGTTTGTTCAGGCCATCCCATTGTGGTATATTCTCGTCAGAGTGGCACTAGGGAACCAGAACAGTTATTTTGAAAGTGTTATTATCAGGAGTCTTTGCTATTGTTGTTGTGTGCTGTTGAGTAGAGTTCAGCTCAAACAACCCTACAGGAAAGAGTAGACCTTTCCGACAGGATTTCTGAGACTGTAAATCTTCATGGGAGCAGGTCACCAGGTCTGCCAGTCAGGACAGTGAAAGCAAACAACAGGCAGATCTCTCAGGGGAGGCACTGGGAGCTACCCCAGAGGAGTGGTCAGGTAAGAGAGACTCCGAGTCACATTGCGTTCTCTTCCCACCTCCTTCTCTGTCATCTGTCTCAGCATCTCTGAGTACTGGCATGTGTTTCCTGTTCTAAATTGTAAAGCAGATCGTTGAAACAAACTAATCATACAAACTCATCATAAATCCAATAAAGAAGGGGGCTGTTGTAGAGTTAGTTATTGTATTGTCTTATTGGTTTCTGTATAAAAGTGGTCCTGAGGCAAGGAGAGGGAGCTCTGGTGGTGTAGTGCCTAAAGCACTTGACTGCGAACCAGAAGGCTGGTGGTTCAAACCCACCAGCCACTCCTTGGAAGGAAGGTTGGGCAACCTACTTCCATAGTGATACCACCTTGGAAACCCAAGGAGGGGTCATTGTGAGTCGGGTCCGACTCCTTGGCGGTGCATCTGGTTTTCTGGAGGCAAGGAGAAGTCCCCCCCTTCCCCTATGCCCTTGTCCCGCAGCTGGCCTCTCACGCCAGCAGCTGCTCCAACCCTTGTCTCACACTCCTCTCCTTCCTGCTGGTCTATGTTCTTGGCAGCGGTCACGTCAGCAGCTTTTACTGAAGCAATTGACATGATTCCATTGCTCAGATTCTTGCCTCCTATGCCACTTTTTAATTTTTTTTTTTTTTGTATTGCAAATGTTTCGAGTTTTCTATCTCCTGTGGCATTACTGATATCAGAGAAAGATACTCCCATCTATTTTGCCTTCATGTCTGGAGTAAAGCAGAGCCATCTGCCACTAGGAGCTTCTCTCGTTTGAAATTCGATGGACATATTCCCAGTTCACGTGGCAACATTCTCTGATTCCTAAGGCTTTGTCTCTTACATAACTCTTGTTTCCTGCAGTCGACGGAACCCGCTTGGCCTTATCATTGCCCTAGATGAGAAGAGAGAAGCCAAAGGGGAACTTTTCTGGGATGACGGGGAAACCAACGGTGAGGGCTGCCACCATTGTGCTGCCATTTCTGAACCTGCATGTTTGGTCCATGGCCCTTCACACCTGCTGGTCATTGACTGGATTTTGTTTCCGGTTGTGCTCCTCCAGCATAGTGGTAGAGGGACCACAGATGGAAGAAAAACTCATCCTAACTTTTAGAATTCTACTGTCCACCAGCAATATAAATAGGTTGTCATTTTGTGGTCAACCAGCACCTGGTAGAAAAGTGTGCAAGTCTGTACATGCAATCCAATGTACACATCTCTCTAAACATACTTATGAGCAAATGGTACTGATCTAAAGAAGTCCTCATGCTGTGAGGCCACGTGGATGCACGCTGGTAGGAGGCATTCATCTGTTGCTGTTAGTTCTTGCTGTGTTAGCTCTGCCTCATGCTGACCTTGTGGACCAACAGGATGAAACGTTGCCCGGTCCTGTGCCATCCTCACAACCATTGCCATGTTCAAGTCCATTGTGGTGGTCATTGTGTCAGTCCATCATTGAGGATTTTCCTCATTTTTGAGGACCCTCTAGTTTATCCAACCACATTTATCTAGCCATGTTTCTAGCACATTTTCCTATATCCAGTGTACTAACAAATGTAGGGTCTCAAGCTTAGGAGATAGATTTGCTTGAAGCATATGCCTTGGAAGTGCCTAAGGCATTTGACTGCTAACCAGAAGGCTGACAGTTCAAACCCACCATCCACTCCTCGGAAGGAAGACTGGGCAGTCTACTTCCATAGTGATACTGCCTCAGAAACCCAAGGAGGGTTCGCTGTGAGTTGGATCTGACTTGACAGCAGTGCATTTGTTTTAGTGGAAAGGGTGGGAAAAGCAGTGGCTTAGTCTTGGAGAGTGCTCATAACCTTGTCTTCTCAAGATACAGCTTCTTTTTTTTGGGGGGGGGGCATTGGTTGATATGTCCCTCTGTGGTAGGCAGAGCCTAATGGTCCTCCTCTCACTTTCAGACACTGTGGCCAAAGACATGTATCTCTTCTGTGAGTTTTCTGTCTCCCAGGTGAGTAACACACTTTTATGAATCTCATGTGTTGGCTTTCATCTGATCATCACCTCGTGTGTGTTGGTGTGTATATGCAATTGTACCTGTGGCTTTGTATGCATTCCTGAATATAGGTGAACACATTTCAATTTATGACTGAGCTCCCCAAAATTGAATCATCCATGTTGGCAAAAGGAGGTGGTAATATGGTTAAATCAAAAAGAGTCAGTGTTTCTAAATGCAGTTTTTAAAAACATCTTTCTGTGTGCATGTCTGTACATGTGTTCCCAATTTTTAAATAATGTTTTGGTTAGTGGATTAAAAAGTGTGCTTGTATTCCTTGAACACACATTAGTAGAGATAGCTACAAGGCATTTGGGGTGGTTGATCTGGGATGGAATTCTGTGGTCTAGAGGACATGAGGATCTGCAGTTAGGCAACTGGTCGACAGTGGGTATTTGGGTGCCTTGAACATTTGTGTATGACAGGTGGATTTTACTTATTTGTTTTGCAGAACCACTTGGATGTGAAGATTTCACACTCAACCTACAAAGACCCCAATAATTTGGCATTTAAGGAGATTAAAATCTTTGGGATCCAGCAACTTGCCAACATTACAGTGAAGCACAATGGTGTCCCAAGTCAGACTTCCCCTAAAATCACGTATGACCCTAACCTCCAGGTAAACCCTGTTCTGTTGAGACGTCTTATCAAGAATTGCCTCGCGGGGCTCCTTCTTGCAAGTCTCATGAGCTCCGGAAGGACCAGAGCACACCCTGAGGCCCATGATGGAGAGGCCTGAGGGGTGGGATAGAAAAGTAGGGGGAGAGGCCACAGCTAGGATGAGTTAGGAGCTGCTGAGGAAAGGAACTTAGGTAAAATGGCCTTGACGTCCTTCCTTCCTTCTCTGCCCCTCGGTGTGCTCTCACTGACCAGCAATAGTTAAGATGGGACAAGAAGAACATAGGGCTGTGGGAACAGAGTGAAAACATAGGGGTGTGGGGAAAAGAGTACCTGAAGGAGAAAGGGGAGATGGAGTCTCAATTAAGGATGAATTCCAAGTGTAAGTTTTCTTACTCGCTTGAGATAGAAATTCTTGTCAACATACATATTTTTTTTTCTTTTTATTGTGATTTGGGTGAAAATTTACAGAGCAAATACACTTTCCATACAACAGTTCACATACACTTTGTCTCATGACATTGATCACAATTTACCACAATGCAACAGCTTCCCTCCCACTTCCTCCCCATAGTTACCTCTTCCCAGTGTCCATCCCTCCATACACTCCTGCCCCCTGAGCTGTCTCCCTGTGCATAAGCAGCCCTTCTTTCTCCCATGGTTGTTCTCTCCAAGGAGTGTATCTACCTCAGGTAAATGTTCAGCTCATATGCCTGTCCATTGTTTGGCTGGAAGCCACAGGCGTGCGTTCAATTCCAGGCCTGAAGGGCAGCTAGGAGCCATCATCTCAGTGGTTCCACCAGGCTCCATCAGGCCAGCAAACCTGGTCCCCCCCGCTTTTTTTTTTTTCCAAATGATTTTGAGTTTTGTTCCACATTGTTCTCCCTGTCTACATAGATCCCCTTGCAAGTGGATGACAGTGGTAGCCAGGCACCGTCTAGTTCTTCTGGTCTCATAGTCGTATAGGCTGCAGATTGGATGGTGTACTCATCACTAGGACTAATTTTTTCCATGAATTTTTGGTTTTCTTCATTCTTCTTTGCTCTGGATGAGGAGAGATCCATCATTGCATCTAGATGGCAGCTTGCTAGCTTTTAAGATCCCAGTCGCTACTCGCCACAGTAGGAGATGGAACAATGTTTTGTGTAGTATGTTATGCCAATTGAGCTTGGTGTCCTCTGCGACTATGGTCCTGAGCCCAAGGGTTCAACTACTCAGTCCCTCTGGGTAGCTGGCTGTTACTAAGCCATGACCACAACCTTGCCCCTTGTCAGCTCTACTATACACCTGGGAATTCTGATCATTCACATAACCTTATAGGACCATTGACTACCAACCCTATATATGTTCTTGGATACACTTCTCATTTCATAGACATGCCTAATCGTTCAGCCTGTCTACCCATCTATCCACCCATATACCCGTGTTTGCCTTCACTGACAATGAAGTACTGTATGTGCAAAAGCGTTCATCTTTGTTGTCTGTATTTCCCACATACCTCTCTGTCTTTCTCTTCCTCAATGCCACTATATTGATCACTCACATTTGGTACATTGCCTTTCTCTTCACCCAAATCAAAACTTATCTCTATCTATCTAACTGTATTCTCTACCCTCCCTTCCCACCCCTGGTAACCAACAAAGAAAATGTCCTTCTATAGATGAGCATTTCCTTGACTTTTACAATAATAGACTAATACAATGTTTGTCCTTTTGTGATTGACTTATTTCACTCAGCATAATGTCCTCCAAGTTCATCTACGTTATGTGGTGTTTTCAGATTCTACATTATTCTTTAGGGTTGCATAGTATTCCATTGTGTGTATGTACCATAATTTGGAAATCCATTCCTCAGTTGATGGACACCTAGGTTGTTTCCATCTTTTGGCTATTGTAAATAGTGCCACGATGAACATGGGTATGCATATGTCTGTTCTTGTCATGGCTTTCACTTCTTTAGGATATATACCTAGTAATGGAATAGCTGGGTCAAATGGTATTTCTAGTTCCAATTTTCGAAGAAATCACCATACTGCTTTCCACAATGGTTGTACCATTTTACAACATACACATTTTTAAGGCATATTTTCAATCTTAGCTAATGGCACGTATTTGATTAAACTCATTATCATTGAGTTGATTCCAACTTATAGCAACCCTGTAGGACAGAGTAGAAGTGCCCCCTGGTGTTTCCCAGGCTGTCATCTTTATGGAAGCCAACTACCACATCTTTCTCCTGTTGAGCTGGTGGTAAGCTTGAACTGTCAACCTTTCAGTTGGTTAGCAGCTGAGCACTTAACCACTGCACCAGTCGGCTCCCTACTTACTTGAGTAGATTATAATAATATAGTAATTTTTCCTCACTTGTAATGAGACCTGACATTATGGAACAGGTTGCAATCCATTCCTTTGACACCTTAGTGTTTTGAAGAATCCTTTCCCCAAGTGCTCCTTACTACTGGTTTCCTGAGGGGCCATCCTTACAGCTGGTTTCCCAGGGGAGCACAGATGAGAAGCTGCTGTGTCTGCATGGATTGTGAGGGGATTTCTAAATCTGGAGAAAATAAGCACATTTAGCGTTTTATTATAAATGGCAAATCAACCACATTTGACATTTTGTGCTGACAACACTCATCGGTGATGCATCGATTATAAAGTTAGAAATAAAGAATAAGAATAAGGTTGGTTATGTGTATGGCAACAGACAGGACTATTTGGGAGGAAGCCCATGTGACAATACACTCAGTGCGTGTTTAGTGAACATAAGACCAAAGGAGATCTTTTATCCCTTGAATTTGGATGAAGGGGAGATACAGTCTGTACACATGAAACTACTGGGAAGGGGGCAGGGAGCTGAAACCAGCATATTAGGCAATGCTAGTTTTTCTTATGTCCATTGTAAGATCTGTAAGCAGGCTTGAGAATGACATGTTCAACTCTTATGAGGCAGTTGAGCAAACTTCTTGGAGGAGGCAGGATTAAAGCAGTTATATCACAGAGGGTTGTATTCAGCTGCAAGAAAGCAAAGCCCAGAAAAGTGGTGTCTGAGCAGATGGGTTTTTCATGGGCAGTAGGAGGTTTAGAAGATGCTTAGTAGCTGGCATTGCTCAGCAGCTCAGGGTGTCAGGGCTGATGTCATTTCTGCTTAGGTCCAGCCACCAAGGTCCTAGTCTAGCAGAAAAAAAGAGGAAGCAAGAGGAAGGGGCAAAGGTGAGGGGCAGGTCCTGAAGTCCAGAAGAAACACATGCCCAGCAGGCCCCAGGGGACTTGTACTCATCAATGACCACAGCTGTGCTGTGTGGATTATCAATGTAGATCTTTATCTGGGACTCTGGGTCAAGCTAAAAGAGTGGGTAAGAAAGGTTTATAGGGCAGGTGGCTAGCAGCATATTCCATAAGTGGGCACCATTAGCCTGGATGACACGTTCCAGGTTGAGACAGCAGACTAAGCCAACCCCAGGAATTTGTGTTCATCTGTGAGTCTGATATTGTTGGAAGGAGGTCAGTTTGGATAGATAACATTATGGCCAAGTTTTGGACGACTTTAGATATCGGAGGAATCCCTGGGTCATGCAAATGGTTGACACACTTGGCTGTAGACTGAAAGGTTGGAGGTTTGAGTCCCCCTGAGAGGCACCTTGGAAGAAAGACCTGATGGTCTACTTCTCAAAAATCAGCCATTAGATGCCCCCCAGAGCACAGTTCTACTGTGACACACATGGGGGCCCTGTGAGTTGAAATCCCTGTGACAGCTACTGGTTTTTACTGGCTGGCGCTGGAATGAGAAGGTCATTTTGATGTAATTTGGTCTGATTCTCAAAGGGCCTATCGTGAGCCTTGAGTTAAGGCCGTACTGTGGGGTGAGTGTTTTCTTGGGGAGATGAACAGGACAAGGAAGTGCCAGATGAGTTTACACTGGGGAGGAACTGGGAGAAGTGACCTTCATCATGATGTGACTTCATTACTCCAGGCATGCTTGGACATTCCTTAGGGAAACTGCTACTGAGAGAAGGGACGCACACATACACTCCATGAAAAGTGTTTAGACAAGTGTTTGGTGTGTGAATGGTGGTGGGATTCCATGAAGGATGGCTCAGATTTGAGCCCTTGCAGTTAGAGAAGGGAAGAGGCTGGGCTGTGAGGTATGAAAGGAAAGTTCATGATTTTTCCACCTTGCTAAATTTGGAGTTGATAAAACTGAGACCACAGAATTGCCTAAATCTGTCTAAATTTCCACCATAGAATGGGGTGAGACTGGGTCATACAATTTTTATTCCTACGTTCTTGCTACTACCTCAGACCAAGGTGGACAATGTCCTGGGGAGTGGAGGCCAGAAGAGAGCCTAGGTTTGCTTGTCACTGTGTGTTTGTGTGGAAAGTGCAGAAGGAGCTTCCTCAGAAGATTCAGAGAAAGAAGAAGACTCAGGGAAGGAGGAAACAGGAGTGGTGGTAGACGGTGTACTTGACCTGAGCCTTTCCAGCATGTGTGTCGGAGATTCTGAGAGGGTGGTGCAGTCTTCACCAGCGGTTTCCCTTAGGCCTGTTCAGATCAGCTCCAAGGCTTTGGGATTGGATTGATGAGAGTCAGGGCCATTTCTACTTCCTGTCCTACAAGACCTTGTCCTGAGGATGAAGGTCCTTGTCACTTCCTGTTCCTACAGGTGGCCATTATCACAGAGCTTAACCTTGTCCTGGGAGAGGCATACACAGTGGAGTGGCATATAAGTGATGCAGAGAAAATTGACTGCTACCCTGATGAGCAAGGAGCCTCTGCAGAGAACTGCACAGCCCGTGGCTGTGTCTGGGAGGTAAGCTCGCACTGATGGATGCCAGACTCCTTTCCACACTGTTTGCAAAGTTAATGAGGGCAGATGGGTAACTGCTGACAACCGGTGGGAGCAAGGACTTCCAGAGGACCCTGAGCTCTATCTGGACGTGAAGAATAGTTGGGACGGGAGTGGGTGGTCCTGCAAATAATTTCCCAGAGACCAGGGATGCAAAGGGCTTATATCACCACCCTGCAAGAGAAAGATGTGGCAGTCTGCTTTGTAAACATTGCAGCCATGGAAACCCTATGGGGCAGTTCTACTCTGTCCTCTAGGGGTGCTGTGAGTCGGAATCGACTTGCTGGTGGTGGGTTTGGGTTTGTTTTTGGTTATGTCACCATCAGATGGTATATGAGCTGATGAGGGGTGGGCTGCTTTCTTGCCCTGAAAATTCCCATTCTGACCCCTTTCCTCCGAGTGATCCTTGCACCACGTGCTGATCGGTGACTTCGGCCTTCTGTTGCAGGAATCCAGTACCCAGGGAGTCCCTTTGTGCTATTTCGTCAGTGATCTCTACTCTGTCAGTGGTGTTCAGTATGATGCACATGGGGCCACCGCTGACATCTCCTTAAAGGCTGCTCTTTATGCCAACGCCTTCCCATCAACCCCTGTGGCCAACCTCCGCCTGACCGTCACCTACCATAAAGATACCATGCTGCAGTTCAAGGTAATGCAGTGCGTGTATTAAGTCCCACCATCAAGGTCACTTCCAGCTCCATTGTGTTTTGCTAGCAGTCAAGGTTGTTGCTGCTGTTGTGTGTTGTTGAGTCAATTCTGACTCGTACAGATCCTGCGGGACAGAGTAGAACTGCCCCATAGTGTTTCTGAAGTCATCATCTTTACAGAAACAGATTGCCACGTCTGTTTCCTACAGAGCAGTTGGTAGGTTTGAACTGCCAACCCTTCCGTTAGCAGCTGAGTACTTAGCCACTGCTCCACGAGGGCTCAGTGTGGTATCGTCTGAAGTCTCCTCACAAGCGGTCATCAACGAGACTCTGCATTCTTTTACCTCCTCTTCTGCAGCCACAAAACTCCTGTTATCTCCGTCTTCCACGGAGCACTGGCACATGGGAGCATTCAGTGGGGTTGAAACAAACCAACTCCCTTGGGTCTCCAGCCTTAACTCTTGCCACTACCTCCTCCTACTCTGCCTACCCTACTGTGGCTCTCTTCAGAGGAATGGCTTTCCGAGCCCACACCAATACTCCCTGCCTTGGGCTTTGCTGTGTTTCTGCCTGGAGTGACTTTATCTCCTTTCTGTGCTTGGTTAATGGCCATGAAGCTTTTAGGGTGCAGCCTATGTTTGCTGTATGCAACTGTCCCAATCTCCCACAAACACTGCTAGCCTCACAGCCCTTCTGCATGTCTCTACAGTAGCACTCATCACCAGACGTTGTGACTGTGTGTCACTCACCTCCCATCAGCGTGGGAGTTTCTTAAAAATCAATAACCATGCCTGACTCGTTTGTTATCTCCAGTGTCTGGTACAGAATCAGGTAGGAATATACAGTAACACCTGTGTAAGGCAGAGAAGTGTCCGAAAAGGAAAACTCAAATGTTGTCCACTAACAGAGAGCAATGGAACAGTGGTAAGGATACTCCATCAAAGGGGGTAAACTTGTGACACCCAGACAAGCAGGGCTGTCCAGCCGAGCGCCGCCTCTCACAGGTTTCACGGTCGTACTTAATAATGAAGTCAGAGCTCATGTTTAGCAAAGGCATCTATGATTATCACAATCAAATAGAGCTTATGGTTGTCCCATTTAGAAAAATTTGCAGGTTTTTATATGCACTCACGCCCACACACAAAGTAATAAAACATAGTCATAAACACAGTTGCTTCCAGGCTGGTCTTTCAAGACGGCAACAACGACACGTGCACGTGTTGGCTTAATGGAGGCCTCATAACGAAGATGAGCAGACTTATAACAATATCAGATCGGATGCTATTCTTTGATGTTTTGATTAAATCCCAGGTGTCATGAGTACAGCATTCAGACTCTTTCTCAAAGACATCAGCGTTCTGCTGAGGGTGGAAGTTTAAGTTTAAGCTTTAAGAGAATTGTCTTTGCCTAAAATCTATTTCCCCTGGCCCTAGATTTACGATCCCAACAACAAGCGGTATGAAGTCCCAGTGCCTCTCAACATACCCCAGGTGCCGTCTAGCACCTCTGAGGGGCGGCTCTATGACATCCGCATTAAGAACCCATTTGGGATTGAAATTCGCCGGAAGAGCTCAGGCACTGTCATGTAAGTGGAATTGAGGGTCCCCAGACATTCACCACTCGGCCCATTGTCCTGGGACAGGCTCAAACCATCCCCACTCCTTTCCCAGCCTCGTGAAAATGTTGTTTCCTTTGGGCTGTTCTCATGGGAAATCTTTATGAATATGACCGAGGTGGTCGCATGCACCTGGGTCTTCATCCAATAAGTGTTTATGAGGTGATTCTAAACAAGGTGCACTGTGGTTATAGATATACGAGGTTTCTCTTCTCATGACAAGAGGTCTTGGTAAATAGCAAATATAAAGTAAGTTGAAATACAAACAAGGCAGTATAGATAGTGATGACTGCTATGTAAGACATAGAACAGGATAACTGGGAGATTGGGAGAGGCTACTGCTTTTGATACCGTGGTCAGAGAAATGCCTCCAAGGAGATGACACTAGAAATAGGACCTGGGTGAGGGCAGAAGCTCCCTATATAGAGCCTGGAGGAGGAGAGAGCATTCAGACAGAGGAAATAGTAAGGGCACAGGGGGCACAGGCCCATGCTGGGGCAACCTCGGCATTGAAAGAACAGGAGATGCTGAGGTCGTTGGAGCAATGTGGCCAGTAGGGAGGTGGTGCTGGGGATGAAGCTGCGTGTTAGGCAGGCTCTGGATCAGAGGTGGCCTCGAAGCCTCCCCGAGATGGTTGATTGAGGAACCACTGCAAACAGGGGAGCGATGGGTGTGCCCTGGTGTTGCCATTGAGTCGATTCTGTGCGGTTGGACTGTGCGTCACACGGTTTTCAAGGCTGTAACCTTCCAGAAGCAGGCCTTCAGGCTTTACTTCCATGGCACCTCTGGGTGGGTTTGAACTGGCAGCCTCTTGGTTAAGAGTCCAGTGCTTACTCTGGATGCTGTGTGGCGTCAAGAGTGGCAGTGAGGACTGGGTGCAGTTGAGATGGTGAGAAGTGATTAGGCTGCATGCTTTGGAGAAATCCGGAAGGAGATGGTGATAGAGAGAAAGACCCTGGAAACAGTATCTACAATTGTTTTTGTCAGATGGAGTTGATGTTTTGTTTGGGAAGGAGCAGGTTCTGGGAAGGGTGAATCAAGAGTCCTACCATCTTTGAAAGGGATCTCTTTGAACTCATGTCTTTTCCAAACCCGCCCCTTGTGTTGCAGCTGGGACTCACAGGTCCTTGGCTTCACCTTCAACGACATGTTCATTCGCATCTCCACCCGCCTCCCCTCCCAGTACCTCTATGGCTTTGGGGAAACTGAGCACACGGCTTTCCGGAGAGACCTGAACTGGAACACATGGGGCATGTTCTCCCGGGACCAGCCCCCAGGGGTAAGGACAGCGCTTTCTCGATCTGTCTTCACCTCTCTCCCACACCCTGTGCACACTTACTGCAGCATCTTCCCAGAGCCAGCATGGATGGCCACATTCTGCTCTTAGGAAAATGGGCCAGTTCCCATGCTTCTTTGTTGCTCGTGATTTAATGGATGCCACAGAGAGGACTGGACCCATCGCAGAGGTCAATTTTTGTTAAGTCACAATGTCTTTTAACTTTCCGCCACTTCTCCCCCATAACTTCCCCAGTACAAGAAGAACTCCTATGGTGTGCACCCCTACTACATGGCACTGGAGGGGGATGGCAGTGCCCACGGAGTGCTTCTGCTCAACAGCAATGCCATGGGTAAGACTGGGCACTATCTCCTCTTTATGTTGTGAGCCAATCATTCTTGGGTAACTTCAGAGGTATTTGGCCTTGCTGCCTGGGAAGTGAAAATCATTATCTGGTGGATGGTGTTTTTTGCTGGGTTGTTGTTGTTTGCTATATTTTCATTTTCTGTTTAGCTGAGTTCTTAAGAGATAATAATAAGAACTAACCTAATTCTTGTTTGACAAAAGTCACATAAGAAGGAATAACATAACCAAGCAAGTCAGCTATCCTCCCTGGAGGTCAGCCCGTGGGAGCTGTCTCCATAGTTTGGATGAGTGAAGCTCTGAGTCAGAGAACTCACTGTGGGGTGGGGCGGGGTGTGGAGAAGATTGGTATGGTGTATAGAAAAGCGTTAAATCCAGGGGTGGGAAAATGGATGCATATAAAATCTGGTGATAGCCAAATAAAGTCTATCTATACCGGAGGTTGTTGTTGTTATGTGCCGTCGAGTCAGCCCTGACTCATAGCGACCCCTCCTTGGGTTTCCGAGGCAGTATCACTACGGAAGAAGGATTGCCCAACCTTCCTTCCGAGGAGTGGCTGGTGGGTTTGAACCGCCAGCCATCTGGTGAGAGGGCAGGGTATTATATCAATATTGTCACTGAGGGACTCTGGGTGCTGTGCGCCTTGGAACTCTCAGTATGATTTCTGTAACTTCTTGTGAGGCTTAAACTATTAAAATTTAAAAAAAAAAGTTATAATAATACCTAAAGAAGGAGCAGAATAATTAACTATAGAAGATAATAAAACACACCAAAGAGAAAATGAATCTGGAGGTGAGGCCCTATGGGGTTCACTTTAGCTCCTCCAACTCTGTGAGGGTGTTGTGCAAACTATCTGCTCTTGATTCTCTACAGTAGGGGCCACAGCAAGAGAGAGAAGGTGTGAACTCCAGGAGTCACACCTCACCTCGAAGGCATCCAGGTTGATTGTGTCCTCCTATACTTTCAGATGTAACGTTCCAGCCCATGCCTGCCCTGACATATCGCACCACAGGGGGAGTTCTGGACTTTTATGTAGTCTTGGGGCCAACCCCAGAGCTTGTCACTCAGCAGTACACTGAGGTAGGAAGGAACTTGATTGATGCTAAATGTTTACACAGCACATCTGTGTGCCACGAACCATCTTAAGCACATTCGTTTTTTATGGCTCTCGTATGATTACTGGGCTTGTTGATGTTTCATGGAGACAGGTAGATTATAGCATAAAAGGCAATCAGCAGGTTTCAATGACCAGTAGGTTTGTGGCCTCTCTAAGCACTGCAAAGTAATAGGAGTAGTAGTGGTGGGAGTGGAAGGTAACGGTGGTGGTGGTGGAGGTAGAAGTGTAGGTGGGAGCAAGGGTGATGGTAGTGATGTGGGGGTGGTGGTGTTGCTGTTGGTTGTGGTGGTGATGGCGGTGGAGCTGGAGGTGGAGGTGGAGATGATGGTGATAGTGGTGGTGGAGTGAGGGTGAGTGGTGGAGGTGATGGTGCTGGTGGCGATGTGGTTGAGGATGGGTTGGGGAAGGGGTGGTGCTGATCATCATGGCGGCAGCAGCAGACACTTTTTTTTT